TTACTAGTTTTCCTATCAGGTTCTTCTGACTCTTGCTAGTACTTAATTATGATCTTCAATGAGCTCTTTGCTGAAAGCTACATATAAATACTAAAGCAAGAATATAATTCATTCTAAACTTACCCATGTCTATCAGCTAATTACTATATAGCATTTTGCCCATGAAGAATTTAGATTAAACTCTTAACTTATTAAAATTATGGAGCGTTTTGGAGATGTGTGCTCTAGGTCTTGAGTCTCTTCCTGTTCCTTCAAGTTTTCTTTCATTTTTCTAACTGGTTTGTGTTCCGTGTGCTTCTTTCCTGCGCAGGGATGCCTCATTTTAAGTGATGAGCTGAACCACACATCTCTTGTTCTTGGAGCCCGACTCTCAGGTGCAACCATAAGGACCTTCAAACACAACAGTGAGTACCATTATGGTCGTTGAGCATGTCTTGGCTTGCTCCCAGAACAAAGTGAAGGTTATTGATGGAACTTTCACCTTGCTTTTCAAACTGGAAACTTACTATAAAACACGTACTGTGTGTAATCGCTAATCAATTATGTCAGATTAATTGTACCATGTTTTGACTGCATTCCGTACTCTCTCATTAACTTCTAGTGATCTGGAGCAAAGGGTTGAAGTTCATCAAACATCTAGATTACTGAGTGTGACCTAGACAAAGCTTCTTAAGGAATTATTATCAATGATATTACTAAGACTAATACACAGTCATATAAATCAATAATGTCATGTCTCAAAGACATAACTGCTCTCTTAAGACTGCCAGTCACTTCCTAAACATGCCTCTGGAAACTCTATGAACTTTAAGAAACAACAATAGTTATAGAAAGGCTTCAGGTCTTTTGTTCATAGGGTCGTGCTCAATTCTATGGCAATCAGCAACAACAAAAAACATTTAATTATTAGAAATATATCTATCCAACTCAATAATTCTGCTTGAGAAAGTTTAAAGGCTCTTTAAATTTGATATTATAGTCAAGTAAAAAGTGATCTTGTGCTTTAACATTATGCCTCTTTTGACTCTTTCTCCCCAAATGTGCATTTAAAACTACACACAAACTCTTTACTCAACTTTGCTATAATATTATTACATTCTCTGTACTGTGTAATTGGGTAGTAAAAAAGTAAACTAATATTCATTACTATCAGAACTGTAAATTGCACAGAGGAGTTTGCCCATCTTTCTCCACAGAACGGTTTGTCTTTGGATTGGCTGCTCAACTTCTTACTCCTAGACTATTTCTTCTTTTTTTGTTTAATAAGGCAGCCTGTACTAGGGAAACTTGGAAAGATGCAGGAATGGGTACCTAAGCTTTGCCACTGACTTGCAGTGTCACTTGTACAAATATTTCTTGAACTTAGTTTCCTCATCTCCAGAATCAGGATGGGAGAGTGATAATGTGTAAGATGTAAGGATTCTTCTAATTCCTTGTTACCGTGACTGTAATTCTCTGCCTCTACACACAGAGACACAAGCAAATTGTTTCCTCTTTCTTTCTTCTCCCCATCCTTCTCTCTCACTTTCTCTTCCCACTCTAACTTTTCCATTGCTGTTTCTTGATACTCCTCTTTCATCCTTCAGGAAGCAGGTAACAACAATAATTCCAGTTTTGTTCTCCCCACTTTACAGCAAATCTCAAACCAAAGGGAAAATCATCCCTTTTGTGGAGGGGGTCATTAAGAATATACATGGAAGTGGTCATAATAGAAGGTGAAGAGATTGAGATTGTTAAGAGCTTCAGTTTGCTTGGTTTCACAATCAACTCTCTTGGCACTATTGTTGTTGATTGCTGTCAAACATGACTCATAGAGACCATAAAAACAAAGGGCCAGAAGCCTTTCTAAAACTATCATTATTTTTCAAAGTTCATAGAGTTTCCAGAGGCATGTTGTTTAGGAAGTGAATGCCACTCCTGCTTCCAAACTCTTGGTACTAGCAGTCAGGAAATTAAAAGATAAATTGTATTGGGAAAGTCAGCTGTCAGGGACATCTCCAGAGTACTGAAGAGCAATAATGTCATTCTGGAGACTACAGTGCACCTGAACCAGGCCATGATGGTGTGCCCGATCCAGGCCATGGTGTTCGCAGTGACGTGCTATGCATCAGAAAGCTAGTGACTAAGGATGATTGAAGGAAAATTGATGCCTCTGAGCTGTGGTGTTGGAGAAAAGTATTAAATATACCACGGACTGCTAAGAGGGACAGTGCAAGAGAGAAAGACCCTGGATGAGATGGATTGACTCAGTGACTGGAGAAATGGGGGTAAGTGTGTCAGAGACAATAAGGTTGGCTCAGGATAGAACAGGGTTCAGAGCTGTTGTACATGAGTCACAGGCAACTTGACAACACATAACAGCATTAGTCTACAATAAGTCCTTCTATTCAATATGTTTCTGTTAAAATTATATCAAGTAAATTCTGTGGAGCTTTTACTCTGTAGCATATGGTGTTGCTTGCTATGAGTTGAAATCAATGCACAGCCGCTAATAAGAGAGTTGGTCTAATAAAAAAACCTCTTACACTCACTGAAGAGGATGAAGTCAAGCTAGGCCTTTACTAAAACACTTTTAGTTGCTGTGTGAAAGTGAGTATTCTAGACTTCATGAGCAGAGCCTTGAAGAACTGATCTGATCTCATCAGATTTATAGTTAAAGTCTAAAATGCAGCTCAATGTTAATTTAAAGCACTTAATGCCATTTCATAATTTTGCATCAAGCATTGAGCCTTAGTTTTAGTCTTAAACAAGTGAAGTTTTTGAACACATTCTGATTTCTTGTTTGTTGTCATATCTAAACTTGAACTCATTTAGCAGTGTTGGAATTCATGTTTGAAGTAAGCATCTTTCAAGTGTTCAAGAAGTACTTTAAGTGATGGTGAGAAATGTCTTTAGTATTGGCATAAGTATGCAATCTCCTCCTGGTTCTTTGTCACTTAAAGGGAAATGTGTTCAAAAGTCCTATTTGTTTTTGAAAAATGTAAGACTCATAGTTGACAATTATTCTATTCTGTTCCCACTTGAGTAAATGGTGAAATTTTACAATCTCATTTCCAGATACAAATATATGCACAGGTTGTTATTTCTATGAAGAAAAATGTCAGTCTTAACCTCTCATACCTTCACTCTGTTCTACTAAGGACAGTGGTCCATTACTCTGGTTGTGTAGTTCCCTAGAGACAGATATTCTCTATTTCTCTCCCACCCTCCCTCTCACTTTATCTCCCATGTGTGTGTGTGTGTGTGTGTGTGGTGTGTGTGTGTGTGTACAGAGAGAACTTGAGGTTAGTAAATCCCAAAACTGTCAAAAACCAGGACAGAGATTTCTCCTGACTCAGATAGCTGCAGGGATGATGAACTCAGATTGGCAAGTCAGATTCCAAGGCCAATGAATTAAATATATTTTGGCAAAGTGGCAGATCATTAGCTCAAGTCCAAAAAAACAAGTGACCATATAGTGACAAAATAGATGCAGGGTCCGTAATAAGCAAAGAGCAAGAGAGATTTGCTGCATGTCCATATATTTTCAATACAGACTATGTGCCAGAAAAAACTTGCTTACAACTATTTGGATTTCCATTAAAGATCCCATCAAGGGAATAATTACATTCTATTTGATCCCATAAAGAGCATGACTACGCTACCACTGTCACACCAGCAAATCACAGGCAGCCAAGTTCACACAGTTGACACTATCACAACAGTTTCCTGGCCCTCTATGGTGTAGCTGCTGTATCACTCCTCTCTTTTTGGTTGGGGCAGAAAGAATGGAAGAAGCATGCTCTGACATTGGTTCTTTTCCTATCAGCTGATTGAAATAAGGGGTCGAGGGGACAAATCATGTCTGGTGTTCTTATGCACAGATCTGTGGAGTGGGTGCCAACACCATGGACACATCAGTGTAGAGCAGCTCTCTGTTTTTGTCTAAACATGAATATAAACAATTTAACAGAAAACACTTCATCTCACATACTTTTGCAAGTTGTCAGGAGATGACAGTCCTGGTAAAAGCCACCACGCTGGGAAAGGTCAGCAAAAGATAGGAAGAACCTCAGTGAGATGAACTGGCACCATGACTACGGCTGCAGGGTTGAGCATGGTGGAGATCATGATAAGGGTCTGGTCTATGACCACAGGGCAGTAGCTCAGTGGCACCTAACAACAAAATAGAATGGAAAACTTCCAGACAAGGCACATCTAAAGAACTATCATTGAAATATTAAAGTGAACTGATGGATTCCAGTCATTTGGTCTAACAGTTCTGACTAGTCAGAGACGGCTGCAGAGGTACAGAGCAGTGTCTCTGAACCTGACTCTCTTCATGGATGATATCCTTGATGTCATCCCACAACTCCTTTGTCAACTTCATACATGACTCTCATCTGATGGACTGCATGGGAATTGGGTTGACTACATCTGTGGAAGGAATTATTGTTTCTCTTGTTGTTGTTGTTATATGCTGTCGAGCCTCTTGTGACTTATAATGAACCTGTGTAAAATGTCTCTGAACCCTGCTCTCTCTTGAGCCAATTTCATTGTCTCTGACACACCTACCCCCATTGCCCCAGTCATTGAGTCAATCCATCTCAAGGGTCTTCCTCTCTCACACTGTCCCTCCACCCTCCAAGAATGATGCCTTTCTCCGAGGACTGATTCCTCCTAGCAACATGCTCAAAGCATGTGAGACCGAGTTTCAAAATCCTTGCTTCCAAGGAGCAGTCTGATTTCACCCTCTCCAGGACAGACCTGTTTATTCTCTTACCAGCCCATGATATGTTAAACACTCTTCTCCAGTACCACGACTCAAAGACATCAATTCTTCTATCATCAAAACAAAGCCAGGTCCTGACTGTGAATCAAACCATCAATTGTTGTTGTTGTTGTCATGTGCCATTGAGTTACCTGCAACTCATAGTTACCCTATATACAGCATCTCTGAACCCTGCCCTGAGCCAGTCTCACTAATTCTGACACACATACCCCCACTGACCCAGTTACTGTATTAATCCATCTCATCCGGGGTCCTTCTCTCCTGCGCTGTCCCTCCACCTTTCTGAGCATGATGTCCTTCTCCAAAGACTGGTCCGTCCTGACCACAGGCCCAAAGTATGTGAGACAGAACTTCAAAGTCCTAACCTCCAAGGAGAAACTTGGTTTCACCCTCTCCAAGACAAACTTACTTATTTTCTTGATGGTCCATGGTGTGTTCAAGACTCTTCGGAACCCTTATTCACTGTTGGTGGGAGTGTAAAATGGTGCAACCACTATGGAAGGCAGTATAGTGCTTTCTCAAAATGTTGTAAATAGAAATATCGTTTGATCCAGCAATTCCACTACTGGGAATATACCCTAAGAAACTAGAACTGTCACCCAAACAGATATATGCACACGCATGTTTATTGCT